TGAAATAACTGGTTGGTGAGTGTGAGCCCGTATATACAACTAGGGGAGCATGGCAGATTGCAGGGCGGTGTCGAGTACCCATTCAAGGCATGTCCTTGTGCATCTAAGGCATGGCTGTGTGTTGTTTTCTCACTTGCTTAGTTGCTTGGGTGCAAGTATTGAGTTGACAGATAGATGGTCTTAAATATGGTTGGCATTTTGCCAGATGAGTGTTACAGAGTAAGAGAGAGACCAAAAGGTCAAGGTCTTTACAAGGGAGTGCTTTTCATGTTGAATCTTGGAATTAAAAAATGGAAATAATTAAGAAAAAGGGAGTGGGTGGAATGAAAAAGTGGTAGGAACAAATACATGAGGGGTCTAGATGAGGATGGAGAGCTGAAAGGTTAGGACATGCTGCTCATAGAATGGAAGATTCGGCGTAGAGCTTTCAGAGGAACTGCAATTATTGGGTAGAGAAAGAAAGCGAGAAACAGAGTCAGACCCTGTTCCAACCTGAGAGTGGAGCCACTGGCTTGAGGAATAAGCCAGTTGAGCTCTTCATGAAGCCACTAACGACCCCCTCTCGGCACACCTCCTGTACATTTCTGTGCCCAAGGAATCCCTGTTCTGCCTTACGTTTCTCCACCGAAAGCTCCTTCTGTTTGTCTAACTTTGGAACATGTCAGGCCCCACCTAGGGAGAGAAGAAAAACAAATAAAAGAAAACTCCATCCCATTCTGTTTCCATTAAAATTCGGGTTGTCACCTTCACAAGGAAGCTTCCCACACACACCCTTTTTAACCCCCCATCAGGATTACAGAACTTTCCTTACACATCAGAAAGCTCAGGGCATTTCTCTACCACGGCCTGCTGTATTGCTTCAAAACACCTATGCATGGATCTGTTTTCCTTACTAGACTTAGAGTTATATGAGGGCAGGACACAATTTTACTTATCTTAATTTCCAAGCACAAAGCCTAGAGCTTGGGATATCATGGGCAATTATTAGCATTCGTTGAATAATTCAATGAATAAGTAAATTCATGAATTATAGCACAGAACAGGAGACTGATATATATGCTATAATAATACATATGAGTCAGACTCCTAGGTCATTAGCTCACCTGTGGGGACCAGAAGTCACAATGCTGTCTACCCAGCCCTACCCCATAGCACCTACCCTGTGTACCACTCAGAGAGTTAGACAGAGATTATCTGGGCAAGTCTCTCTGACTCAGTTCCCACATACAAACACAGACACAGAGTCTAAAATATATCAGCATAAACCATCTACAAGCACAGGTTTTACTGAAGAAGTGATATTTGCTCATTTCTTAAGGTCCTGGGGGAAAATAAACTCTAGGAAAGTTCAAAGCACAATTTAGCTCAATGGGAGGCAGCCCTATTTGTTTCTCTAGAAATAGGTCTTCTGCTACTACTTCAAGTTTGACTTATAATTGCCAAATCATTACTTCCAGTTATGAGCATTTATTGTTAAAACTAATGAGGTGCCTCCGAAAAAATATTTTCACAACTTGATTTTGAGCATGCTAAGAAGTTCTTTCTTAGAAACTACAAATGGAGTCTTTGTAAGAAAAGCCGCCTCCTGCCCTGACCAGGGGGGCCAGTCCAGCTTTGTGCTGACAGAAACGCTGGCCACTCGGGGGCAGGGGGCAAGGGAGAAGCTGGCTCCTTCCTACCAGGGAGACCATCTTCTTTCCAGGCCTGAAGTTATTTCTCCAAAGGGCAAAGCTGGCAGGCAACACTTTGTTTGGTGAAAGAGAGACTTGCCTCACTATTCTCAAGAAACTCAGCCACCGTTACGGTTCTCTGGGATGAAGACAAGATTTTGCCACAAAGTCAGGTCGGCCCTCAGAGCTTTGCACAGCTAAAGGTGCTTTCCAGATCTCCCTTCCCGAAGCTCACCCAGGGGTGCCTGCTCTATTATGAAAGCAGCTAAAAGCCTGTGCCAAAAACTCAAAATGTGTGCTGTAATATTTCTCAACCCAGAGGTGGAAATATTAGCAAAACCTAAGAAACTTATTAAAAATGTACATGTCTAGACTGACTCCCTAAATATGCCCCCTCAAAGATTTCAATAAATCCTCTTTTCATGCCAGAAACCATAGATACTCTATTCCATTTCTGTTATATTTGTCCTGCGAATACTAAGAGTAAAATAAGAGCATTTAAAATTATTTGTAAGTTTATAGTGAATAAACTTACTTGAGTAAAATAAGAGCATTTAAAACTATTTGTAAGTGTATAGTGAATACAGTAAAGGCAGCTGTCACCAAGAAGCTGTTCTGATAAGTTAGGGATGACAAGAAAGTTATATCAATAAGTCAGCTCCGGCAGTCAGCAGGGGCTGCCACGGATTGTGAAGAATTCTGGGGACCATGTCCAAATGTGACAAGAAAAAAATGCCAGGAGCGATTATTGATGTCTGCCATGGATCTGGGAATACACAGCAATGGTATGTGTGCCACATACCTGCCTCTGCACCCTAGGCCCTCTGCAAAGCCAGAAACAAAAGCCCAGCTCTCCAACCTCTTTACATTCCAAGTAAAATCCCTTCCAGGAAGCCAGAAACAAGTTCTGCTTCTGGATTTGCTAAACAATGCTTATTTAAAGATGCAATGAATAGGGCTGGGATGAAACTAAAAGAGGAAGTCGAGCCACATGCTTCCTGGAAACAGACTCCAAAATATGAAGCAGAAAATCTTTTTTTTCAGAGACAGAAGGGGACATTTCCTAGGAGAAGCACAGCTAGGATGTACGCGAGAGTGTTAACAAAATGATGTCTGCCAGTTCACAGTGTTTTCTTTGCATTGCTCAAGGGTAAAGTGAAAGATAACAACACTGTTTTGAACATGTTTAGATGTTTTGTTACCAGAGGGAGCTGCAGAAAGCCTGAATTCTCTAACTGAAATGGAAAAGAAAGAACAAAAAGGCACGTTATGCATTTTGCTTATTGTCAGTTACTTCACAGTATTTCTTAAACACCTGAGGTGTGACTTGGTGGGGAGGGGTTGGTGAGTATCATTTTAAAGGAAGTTTTCAGATTTTTAAAAAATGGCTTCCAATAAGGTTATTTGGGACACCTCAAGGTCAGTGTAAAAGGCCTCCGCTCATTTTCCGATTGTGCTGGACCAGAAGGGACCATGAGTGCCTAGCTGCACTCACTTTTCCCCAAGGCAGGCACTTCTGAGGGCCCATTCTTTCTGTCTCCCGCCTCATTCCTGGACACTTAGCTCCTCTGCTGTGTGAATTTACACCCGTCCTCGTGGCTGTCTTGAATGCACTGGTGTGTCTTGACTTGAAGGTTAGATGAGAGATGTGGGGCCAGATACTCCATGTGGACTAAGTCCAGTGAGAGATCCAGCCCTGCACATACTTCCCAGTCATTTAACTGCCTCCATTTCAGTTTCATCATCTGAAAATGGGGACACCAATATCTTCTTCACAGAGTTTGTGGGTGAATGCCACAACAAAGTACTTTGTGTGTCAAAAGCAAATGCAAAGCATCACATGCCAAATGTCTCCAACCTTCTATCCACTGTGATCTCAGTTCAAATGGCATCTCCACTAACAGGCCTTCCGTGACCACTCTGAGAAAACTATTGCTCCTCTCCCTCGCTATTGCCTTTACCTGCTTTTCTTTACATAGCTTATAACTCCTCAACACTTTACAATCATTTTTATACTTAGTTGGTTATTTTGTCTGCCTCATCCACCAGAAATTCATGAGCAAGGACTTCTGTCTGGCTTGTTGCCTACTGTAATTCCAGGCCCCAGAATGCACTTGGCAAGTAGCAAGCACTCTGTAGGTGTTTCCTGAATAGATGAATGGATCTTTCCACACCTAGCTGATCTTTACCATCTAGCTGAGAGGACAAGATAACACTTCTTGGTGGCATATCTCCAAGCCAACGACTAGAAAAAAAGTAGGACACCCACTCAAAGCCAGAAATGATGTTTCCCTTCAATTCTAATGTATCTGGCACATTTTCATGTAAAAAAGAAACATGATCAAAAATTCTACTTAATAACTCCTAAAATGCATTTTATTGTGTGGAATTGATTATACTGTCTACAGAAGTTGTAAGTTCAACAACTATAAAAATTGAAGAAATTTCTCCCTAGGAGGAAAGAGGACAATTTTTTTAAAGTAGAACCCACTGTTTAAACATTTGTTGCATAAGAAAAAATTCACTAAGAACAAATCATCTAACACAGATACAGTGCAATTTGAATAACAGCCAAACCCTTGTTCATAATGTTTGACTGAAGCTGATCTTAACTGGTCCCTGTAGATGTCAGCAGCCTCATAGAAACAGCCTTCAGAACCGGAAAACATAATATCAAGGACCTGGGTAATTACACACTGATGTCAACCACTTCTTATTCATGCCTGGGAAATAACCCCATTCATAGCGTCAAGACCAACAGAAAGTCTTCATAATTTCACATCAACGACTCTAAGGGTTCATAAATAAATGTGCCCAACTTGGAGGGCAAGTGGTTCTTAGGAAATCTAAAATGCAAAATAGTACAAATAAAAACAAAGGGCAGTTATCTGTGTCAACAAGGGCAGCAATAGAAACGAGGTACTACTAGAAGCAGGAGGGAGGAAGAGGGGTAAGAGTTGAAAAACAAACCGTGGGACCAGTGGGAGGGGGAGGTGGGGAGGGGATAGCCTGGGGAGAAATGCCAAATGTGGGTGAAGGGGAAAAGGAAAGAAAAGCACACTGCCATGTGTGTTCCTACGCAACTGTCTTGCATGCTCTGCTCATGTACCCCAAAACCTAAAATCCAATAAAAAATTTAAAAAAAATAAATAAATAAAATAAAAAAATAAAAAATAAAAAAACCGTTGAGTACTAATGCGCAGTACCTAGGTGAAAGGATCGTTCATATCCCTAATCTCAGTATCACATGATCTACCCAGGTAACAAATCTGCACAAGTATCCCCTAAATCTAAAATAAGAGTTGAAGAAAGAAAAAAAGTTACCTTGTACCTGGCCTGCCAATATGAAGTGGAGAATGAAGTGTTCAGTCAATTTTCTATAAAACTCTAAACCCATTCCCTCCATTGAAAGAAACAAAAGCTATCACTTCACATTTTAGGATTTGAAAGAATCTATTTGAATTGCTCCTGAAATACTTACCAAGCTCAATCACAGCTCTTAGAGAGGTGTCTGTCCTTGGGTATTGATCCTGGCAAACATGAGAGCAGAATGGAGAGTATGAAAAGAAGTGTCATATTTGTATTGGGTGGAAGGCAATAAAGAAGTTGAAACCTCCTCTTGAGATAGCCTAAATCATTCCAATATGTCTATTGCCCTTTAATTGGATCTTAATTTCCCCTGATAGCCCCTCAAAACCCACCCCTTCACACACCAGATATCCTTGTGTGAGATGTCAATATACCTCTGATTCCACGTTTCCATTTTCGGATCTCTCTCCCAATGCACCCACCTAACAACATATTTTATCTCCCTATTTATAGCAAACTATCTCCATTCTGCTCACCATTGTCTGTTGACCCCTGGGAGACCCAAAAGATCATACCAACTTTTGGCTTGTGGTTCTTTTCACAAGAGAACACAGGCAGCTTTGGGGTGAGACTTAGATTCATAGCTTGCTTCCAGCAGGTCATCCCTGGGAGACCTTGGGCCACTTTGCAAGACTTCAGCTTCTTCATATGTAAAGTGGGTGCAGAATTACCTACCAATACAGGAATGTTGTTAAGGATTAAATGCTAGAGTGGATATGAAAAAATGTAGCACACTGCCTGGCACATTGTAGGCCCTCAATAAATAGTAATTTTCTTTCTTTTTCCGCCCCTTGCATTTAACTCTGAGGAGTTCAGAATCCATATTGATTATTATCAGATAGGATGCTTTACTATAAATATTAAGTATCTTAATTCTATTTTCAGGAAAGAAAATGCCATCAATAAAGTGCATTGATCATTGATCCTAGGTTAATTTGAGTATATGGCATTTACATTGTAACTTAAAATTCATAGTGGAAAGTAGTTACTTATCTTCTATAGCAGGTCTAATGGGAAAAAAATTAGAAATTTGGAAAATTCATCATCTTATTGAAGAAATGTAATTTGGCAAGAAAAAAGAGGCTTCAAAAACAGTAGATTTACAAGTCTGTCTTCACCACATACTACAAGGATGATTCCAGGCAAGTTTATTCAACACTTTTAGGGATCCATTCCACATTTGTAAATTGGTATATTGTTACCCATTTTGCATACTATTTGGGACAGAGTGGAATTAAATAATTTTGTTTAAAAAAAATTCATATTGATGATCTTTCAGCACTGTCTTAAAACCTCCCAGACCTGTGAACCCCAGAAATTTCATCCCCATTCTACTTTAATACCTGGGAAATCACAATACTGTAAACTACCCCAGCTAAAAAGTCCAAAACCCTGAAATTCCCTTTTTTGGATAGTCCTTGCTTGCCTACATGTTCAGTCCTGCTAAATAGATCCTTGCCTTTATCATGACAGCCAATTATTCACCCTTTCTCCTGGATCTTTATTTCTTCTAGACAAGGGTCTCACACACTTCCCAATTTCATTCATCCGGCTGCCCAGTGGGGCTCAATGCCAGTTATTGAAGCCTCCTCCCTCACAAGCACCATGGAGTCCCTCACTGTTTGCTCACTGAAACTGCCTTGCCACTCTCCAGCCCCTGGAAACACTCACCATTTACTTTTATCTAATAAACATTTTTTTTTTTTAAGTTCTCAAACCATGCTGATTGAATGCTGTTTCCCAATGCTGGCCCCTCACTGCTGATGAATTTCCCCACTTGGCTCTTCTGAATTTGCATATACAGCTCCATTTTCAACCCCCTAACCTAACTGCAAGCAGTGGCATTGCCTCCTGCACTGCAGAGACATTCAAGTTAATATGCAAGCAGCAATCACAGCATCCCTCTAAACGGACCCCACTCACCTAAGGGTCTCTGGTAACTTTTAATAGGCACTTCCACAGCTTCTCAGCACTTTGTACTATTGCTTACCACTTTTTTCTTGAAGCTTGCTCTTTCCTTGTCATCCTTTACCCTGCACTGAATTCTCCTATTTCTCTCGTCATTGGTTCACCTTCCTCCTTCAAACCCTAAAAAATGTAAATTCCCACAATTCTGAACCACAGTCCTTGACCCTCTGCCCTCTGTGTCCTCAGTGAAAACCTCGTCTATCCCCATGACTTTTGTGATTGCTTCCAAAGAAGTTGCTTCCATATTTCATGCCTACAACTCCACCAAATATTCCCGAGGATTCCATCAGGATATTCCATAGCCACCTCAAACTCAACACCTTTAAAATTCATCTTGTTCCTCCCTCTCACCCTTTCTCCTGTGTCTGCTAAAACACTGCCAATCTCCCATTCACTCGGTCATCCTTGACTCCTTCCCCTTCTCTTATCTTCACAATATCATACCTATTCTAACTCTTGAATCCATCGCTGCATCCTATTTTTATTTTTACTTCCATGATTCAGGCCCTTAGAAGCTTCCAGTTGAACGATTAAAGAGCTTTATCACTGCTTCCCCCTTCCTCCTAAGTCTCAGGATCTCCAGAACCAAATTAAGTGGCTAAAAAATTAAATCTAAATCAAATTCTGTGATTTAGATTTAATTTTTTAGCCACTTAATTTGGAATTAGCTTGGAATTCCAGAACCTCCTTGATCTGGGCAAAACCTGACCTTCCAGCTTAATCATTCTCTTCTTTCCTCAATGAACCTTGAACCAACCTGTAACTGCTGCCCAACAGTTCACTGTTCTCCAAACAGGTGCTTACAGTTCCTGCCTCCCTACATTTTTTTTTTTGAGATGGAGTTTTGCTCTGTTGCCCAGGCTGGAGTGCAATGATATGATCTCAGCTCACTGCAACCTCTGCCTCCCGGGTTCAAGTGATTTTCCTACCTCAGCCTTCAAAGTAGCTGGGATTATAAGCGCCCACCATCACGTCCGGCAAATTTTTGTATTTTTAGTAGAGATGGGGTTTCATCATGTTGGCCAGGCTAGTCTCAAACTCCTGACCTCAGGTAATCCACCAGTCTTGGCCTCCAAAAGTGCTGGGATTACAGGCGTGAGCTACCACACCCAGTCACCTCCCGACTTTTGTTCTCATAATTCATCTCCTGTTTTGCACTCATCATATGATTTCCCCAAATTTCCAGCTGGGAAAAAAATCTTATGCACTCTTCTACATTCAGCTTAAATGTCATACATACCCTAAAGCCTTCCTGACCCACCATCAAACATGATCTCATCTCTTCCTTGTCACTAACAGGATGTAAAGCATTCTATATTACTTCCTAATGCCTCCTGCTTATAGAAGTGTCTCCCTCAGCTAGATGCTTCTCATCCCCTTCCTGTCAAGCTCCCCCTACACTACTGCTGCTGACCTAGGCCACAGGGCCCTTCTTCCTCCTTGTCCTCCTCCCTTACTCTGCTATTTCTCTGTAGCCAAATATTCCAGCCACCACTGTCACCATCTGCCCTCTTCAAAGAGTGAATCCTTTCTACCCATGCAGTTGTAGAATCCTTTAATTCCATCCACACTAACTCTGACATATGTCTCACAGTCAAAGGTAAGGAAACAAACCATAAACTTGGCCACAGGTTCTGTTCTTAGTAAGCTAAAAATTATCTTACGAAGTTCTTAACTATACTTTGTCTTGCATACACAATCTTTAATAATCTAATTCTATCATACCATGTGTCTTATCATTTTCTTCATTTCTTTCACAAGTGAACACATGCATTTACCTGATGTAACAGGCTGAATGAGACGAGGGTCTCCACTTACAATATGGCAAAAGTGCTTCAACCCATCTTATTTATATTCACTCAATAAAACCCACACATTTTCATTCTCCTGTTTTTAACATTTGTTTTAACCAATCAGGGAAAACATTAGATAAAAATATCTAAATAATTGTAGAGACAAACATATTTACAGCTAGAGATTGAAAGTGTTAAGATGCTGGCAGGCAATATCAAAATTCTGAAAGTTCCTATTGGCTCTTGGAAGAAAGCCTAAATTTGACCCACAAAAGACAGTTTAGGGGTATCAACTACAATGTGCAGAAGTGAGAGGTTGCAAAAGTTGGGACTCACTGATGCTCTTCGCCCGACATTCAGGCTCATGTCCTGATGCATTGGTAATTTCACTGCAGAATGAAGTGGAAACAGCTCAAGATCTCAGACATGGTAGTTCTGGGTTTTCACAGGACTGAGAAATAACACTTAAAATGGTCTCCACTTGTACTGTTTCAATTAAATAAGGGATTAAAGAAGCTTTAGTTGTCTTGCCTAGGATTATGGTAGTATTTTGTAAACAATAAAGTGTTATACAGTTGTAATGTGTTAGAACCTTGCTTATATGGCAAATTCATTCCAAATTTCAAAAGACTTCAAAATGCATTTTAAAATGTGTTTCACTGTATACTCCTAGAAGGGAGCACCCATTCTTATTTATCTTTGCATCCTATCTTCCCTAATATTTTTAATATAAATGCTCAAAAGTTCTTGTTTTAAGCATGACAAAATGAATTGATATATAAGGAGGAAAGCTGGAATTAACCAACGATAAGTCTCTAAAAATGTAATCACTTGGCATTGCATTAAGTCTTTCTAAGTTACTTGAAATGGGACTATTTAAATCAGAGTCCAAATAAGAAACAGAAAGCCTACAGATAAGAAATCAATTGTGTACATTTACATCTTCATCAGATTATATTTCCTCTCATGCAAATCAGCAGAATCAACTTGCATAGAATTTGACAAGTCTTTCCGCAAAGGAAAATTATTCAGCCTCCTTGGCTCAAACGCAAACTTGAGCTGTGGCTAGAATAGAGAGGAAATAAAAGACTAGAGAAGACATCCATAGAATGTGGGTGCCTTTCATTTGGGGTTTTCATTCACTCTCTCACACTGGCCAATATGAGAGCAAGAAAATATTTAACTCATGCCTTAAACTTATGTCTTAATCAGTGCTCCCTACACTTGCTAGTCAGGAAATCAACTAGCTTGAGACCTCTGTGTCCTCACTGAAAGAGTATTATTCACACACACACACACACACACACACATCATTTAAACCATCAATGTTTCTTCTGAATCCAGAGCTGGCTCCTCTACTGAGAATCTTGCCCCTGGGAGAGACATCAATGAAGCAAGGAAATTGCCTCTACCTCTGGGCCTGTTACCAGGGCTCCCTCTTTTCAAGGCTCGCCACAGCCATGCTCTGAGAAACATTGATCTATGCTCCCCTCATTGTCCTGCTGCACCAGAAACAAGGAGCAGTAAAAAGAACAGTCATTATTTGTATTTGGCAAGAAAGGCAGCAGTAAAAACTGAGAGGCAGTGGATATGTTAATGTCAAAGTGAGGATGTGAAGGAAGCAGGGACAGGAAGCACTGTGGAGCTGCCTCAGTGGAAAGGAGCTTCAATTACAGAGAGATAAGTGATGGGGAAGGAAGGAGAGAGAGACAGAGAAAGATGGGGAAGTCTACTATGCCTCACAGCAAACAAACTTCAGATTCAGATGCTATTTCCACCTCCTGAGGTGAATGGCATAATGGCCGAGACCACGGAGGCGCTGAGCTGAAGGTCCACAGTTCAAATCCTAACTCTGCCACTTGCGATGTCTATTATTTATATTGGTTAATGTCTCAATCTCTTTGCGCCTCCATTTCCTCATCTGTAAAACAGTGATAACGATGATAATAACTACCTAATAAAACTGTCATGAGGTTCAAATGAGCTAATATTTAGAATGGTTAATGTTAGAGCAGTGTCTTTTTTATTTTATCTTTTGTAGCAGTGGGGTCTCACTATGTCTCCCCCCAGTCTCGAACTCCTGGCCTCAAACAGTCCTCCAGCTTCAGCCTCCCAAAGTGCTGAGATTGCAGGCATAAGCCACCACACCTGGCAAATTTTTTTTCCCAAGGTGAAAAGCTAAAAGAATTTTAATTTGTGAGCTATCCTTTAACTAGAAAATACATTAGTTATAATAAAATGTTAGGTAGACTACAAGAAAACCAGCACAGAAACAAGCCTTATCCAAATATAAGTGAAATCATGATAAGTAGAGTATGATGTGAGCTGCTATCATGATGATGATCCGGTTAGTCATGTCAACACTTCTAACTTTCTTCCCTTATTAAGAAAAAGAAGGGCCTGCAAAAAAAAAAAAAAAGAAAAGAAAAAGAAAAACAGCTAAACCGGGTATTTCTATCTTTAAGCTTCTATCACTCTGCCCACCAAATATGAATAATTTGCCACATAACTTGAAACAACAGTCATGTAAGCATGTGGCTGAGAAGGCTCTGGATTTTCAGCATGCTGTAAGTTTGGACCCTTGGTGTCATTTAATACAAAACAAACCCTCTCCTGTGACCAGAGTTGTCCACACTCAGCAGATACTGCCTCGCGGGGTCTCCAGTGGACCAGATTCCTGCCTGGGGACTGCACTCAAGTCCCTGGGGAAGAAGGTTCTAGGAGGAAAAGTCATTCCCAAAATAGCACTGACTTCCAGTAAATGCAAATGCTGGAAACAAAATAAGTATTGAGTGGGTTTTTTCCCTTCAAATTTGGCTTCGAGATGGGTTGTTTGTCATATCAAGCAGAGATGAACTCTGTGATCACTGAGCCTTTTTTGGTAACATACTCCAAACCCCATTTAAGTAGAGCTGGATTAAGAGAAGGTAGACTTCAGGGACTGATTTGTAAAGTGTACTGAAGTATCACCAGGACACAGAACGTTGCTAGAAATGTTATGAAAACAGCCAAAAATGTGCTTGTCAAAACTCTTTTTGGAAAGAGTATTATATGTAATCAGAAGAATACAGTAATAATTCGATGGTTCTTATCTAGGGTTTTGATGCTCTTTGGAGATGTCTGGAACTGGACGGAGAGAAGAATTTAGGGAGTCACAACTATTGGGAGATCAAAATGGCACTTAGCATGTAATGGGTGGGGCCAGGAACAAGAATGCATGAAACAGAAATTTTCTGCCTAAAATGCCATTGGATGTCTTGCTGAGAAATGCAGACCGAGCACTTGCTGAGAAAGTGCTCCCAGAGAGCTTGCACCTTCTGAGGAGGGCAGTCTAAGTAGCCCCTGGAGCCCCTAGTCCCCTACTCCTACCTCCAGTACTGAGTAAAGTGAGCTAATTTTCACATAATAGAGATGTGGCCTCCTCCACTCTCTGACCACTCTTCACTGGCCCCCAGGTCCTGCACCTGGAATACAAGTCCCCAGGTACCCGGTTTGTGGAATGGAGAAGGACATTTTGACCAGTATGCTATAACTGACTCCCACATGGTGTCACGTGTAATTCTCATGGCAACTCCTTGGTGATAAGATAGTAATGTTCACAGAATATCTAGAAGGAGAAGAGAAGACTGGGAAACTATGTGCCTAGGAACTGCATTCAAGATCTCACCCAGTCCTGGTCCTCACAGATCGTCCCCCGAGCCCTGGGATCTGGAGCCTGTTGTGTGACTGCCATCCTGCTGAGCCCAGAAACTATAGGCAGCTCCTCAGAGACCCCTTCTTGGCATCACTAGTCCCCAAGCCCAAGTCCCACAGACATGTGTCTGCTGGGCAAATTATGGTCCTATATTTGTACCCTGAAAGCAAATGGGTTTCAGTAAAAAGTGGAGAGCAGTCCCTGACTCCTAATGAGATCAATCAGGTGCCAAATTCCTCAGACATGAAAGGGAAGCTCAGATTCCCAGCAGCCAAAAGGAAAAGCAAACATGGGAACACAGGACTCTCGGAAAGGCTTCTTCAGGGACCTTGACTGCAATCCTTCACTAACGCTAAAATGACCATGTGACCTGTTTGCCAAGCACGGTGTCACATATGCCTATTGTCCTGGCTTAAATACTAATGACATCTTTTCACTCTCAGAAGTGTTGCATGGATTTGCATGTGTATATGCATATGTGTGTGAGTGTGTGCATACCTGTACTTTCCTGTGCATGTACCCAAACTGCCATGAATTGTGCTGCAGAGGCCAGGCTCCTGATAAAATTACATTTTATCAGGAAGAGAAGGTAAGAAGACATTACCTTCTCTTCCAGGAACTGCTCAGTACAATCTGAGACTCTGACTTAAGAATGATGGGAAGGAACCACCTCCCTAATAACAGCATTGCCTTGACTTGGTATATGATTTGTTGCTTTGCAGTTGGAAAACCGGGAAGTGATAATTCCTGGAAAAGATTCTTTCCACTGTGTCTGTTCTGTTAAGTGCATTTCTCAGACTCCGTTATTTTATCTCACTTCCCTCAGGACTCTGCCCTTAGCTGGCTTCCAAGTAGCAATATAATTCACCTTTTTGCTTTAACTTTAAAATGCCAGCATATTTTCAGTATTGTAGCTCTTTGGGGAAGAGTGGCTGGGGGAGGAATAAAAAAATAAACAGAGAAACTCAAAAGAGAAGACTGAAGAATGAAGTAGAGAAAGGATGGGAGACAGAGGGAAGAAAGACAAAATTAGAAGAGAAGGGAAGTAAAAAGGAAGAAGGAAATTAAGTGAGAGGAAAAGACAGAAGAAAGAAAAGAGAATACTTTTACATGATACATTATTCAGATATTTATTTCTCTTGGCCTGGAACGTGTGTGGGTAAAAGCAAGCAATTCGGCTAGCTTGGTGGTCTCCACTGGATTTCAGTGGGTTTCTCTGGCTAAACTCAGTCCCAGTGTCTGAGCCAGTAAGGGCTTCTGCCCCATGTCAAGCATCCAGCAAACAGTGCTACAGAGTGGAAGTAATGGATAGCTGGGTTTATCCAAGCTGAGTTTCAAAACAAGCCCTGCACACAACCCCCTGTGATGTACTTCCCAAGGGGAAGCATGCCCAAGAATGACCTAAACCCTGATTTTTAGTCCCAGCAAAATGGAGACCCTTCCCAAGCTACAGATCAACTTTATCTGGAAATACCACTTCCTTGAGAAAAACTTTTCTCATTTTGAAAAATCCTTGTATGAATTTTATTTGAGCATTCTGCTATTCCCAGTGATGGTTTAAAACAATAGTACCCTAATACATATTCCTAAACTGATAGATGGAGAAATCACACTTTGCGAAGTAAGACAATGCCACTTCCCAAAATAAAACATACCCTATAACCCTGCTATGTTACTGGGTAGCAGAATCAGCCTTTTCTCTTCCTGTTTACAGGTAATTAAGACCTTCTGGCATGTTATAATCACTACATGTTGAAAGATTTTAAAGCATCTGTTTTAACCCACAACCCCATTCTAATTTGTACATGTCTACAAGGATAGAGATGGAAAAAATATCACTTCTGAATGATCTAACCTCACAATTAATAATTGAGAATCTCTTTTTCTCTTTCTCCCTTGCCTTTTTTCTCTCCGAACTAGAGTGCACTCTTCAGCTTGTTAAGCTCAGTTCACTCCCACTGATAATTCACTAGAGATCATAATTTATGGACAATTGAAGCTGCAGAAACATCTCTTAGAAGGAATAGAGCAGATCCATAGCAACAATTCTTCAGGGGAATATTAATCCCCGGCTTTATGTAGTGCTAAGTGTACAATAGTAATCAGAACTTGAGTAGAAGCTGCTAATCATTGAGGGAAAAGGCTGTATAAAGAATTCATAATGGAATTAGCCTGCGGCAAACAAAGAAAGACAAAATTAAATCAGCCATCAAATTGCACCAAGGAATTTTAATTTACAGGTTAATGTAGGATTATGTAACTAATCACAGCTAACATTTTCAATGAACAACCAATAAAATTCTGCTCTTTTTTTCCTTTCTAATCTTACTAATGGTATTCCAATAACATGCTTTTATTACCCTATAATATGTTGGAAATGATTCTCAAAAATTCTAAAAGTCTTTCCAATTATCAGAATCAGTGTAAAAACGGAGCTTTGAAATAATTTGTCAGAAGTGTGGATCTAGGAATATCCACTCCTCAGCTCAGTCCAGACCTAATAATGTCTGGGTAAGTTTGCATAAAATAGATTTACATAACCATTTAGCTTTAAAGTATATGCATGTTTTCCATGCAGTGCAGGGAGCTAAAATAAGGCAAAAGAGACTAAATATGTGAAACTAATTTGAAGCACAAAGTATATCAGCTAATTCTAAATAAAACCACTGCCATAGATTTATATGTCAATATTGCAGACATATTCAATGACAGACACACCAAGGACTGCTCTAACTGAGTTTTCATGGTTTATAAATGTGAACATCATAAAAAGAAATAAGGTTTCTAAGATAAAAAGTTGATTAGCATTTCCCATGGGAGGGGGTCAGAATCTTGTATCCTCCCCAGTTATGTTTGGATTTCAACCAATGAATGGCAAAGACAGGAAAAAAAAAACCCTCTACACAATTTGAAAAATTATATGAAATCCAACTGCTTCATAAATATAAATATATAAAAAGACAGCATAACTCTTTGCACATTGGCAAGGAGAAACTCCAAAATTATACTGTATGCTTAAAAAGACATCAGTTTAATCAAAAAGATCTTTTTCCAACATATGGCAGAAGGAAAATTATTATAAATGGAGTAAAAAGTATGTTCATAAGCTTTACTTCATGAGGGAAGAATGCTGGGAAGAAAGGCGACAGCATTCTTCTTGCATATGTTTTTCTTGTCGAGAACAATGTGGGAAAGTCTCATTTTCCTTTAATCTAAATGTTCGTTTTATGGAAGCAGCAACATTCGGCCCAGTTATTAGCAAAGGAGTTTTGTTGCTTTATAAAGTCTAATTTTAAGATGCGCACTTCCAAAAAAACATTATGGTGTCAATTGCACTACCCTTCAGCAATCCTGTAATAACTTTATTCAACCATTTCTAATTATAATTATATTTTCAATTCCTTTTAGCTATAGAAACTCTTTATCAATCAGAGCACAAGACAGAAAATTACTTTATTACAGCTACAGCTCGTTAGGCTGAGTGCTCTTAATGAAGCAGCCTCATAATCAGATGAAAATCATGCTGGAGAAAACTTGCATCATTAGTCTGGGCCTTAATTACCAAGAAATATAGTCACTAACAATGATATTCCATTTCATGATATGGTGCATGCACCTTCTACACTAGTTGCAATTAATAAATTCCACCGGCTGCTACAGAATCTTTTCTATTTATTCATAACAATGGAGGGGGGAAAATTCTAAATTTAATTGAGCGCTTCAGATTGTGCTCTCTTTCTCCCTTGCTCTTGCCTTCAGATTAAAATGTCACAAGGCTAATATTCTATCTTACAATAATTCATCATTTTAATTACATATTTTATGTATGTGAAATGTCTTTTTCAGCTTTATAGTTGAGGGTGACATTTTTGGGGACGCATCTAGGAAAATGGGTGGCCTCTTGTAAAGGTGGTTCCTACCACCCAAGACCACATCAAGGAAATTAAAAAAAAAAAAAAAAATCACTGCCGTCAGCTCATCAACGCCATCCATGTTGGGAAAAGCTGCCAACAAGAACAGGGACATTCATTGAAATTAATGTCAGCGTCTTCTGATAGGCTTTGGATGGTAGAATGGCGATGTTCTGGGGGGAACAAGGCTGTGTCACTGGCCTCTTTGTTAAGCGTGATTGATCACAGACAGAATCAGCAACTTTCCTTTGTGAAAGCCTGCTTTCTTCTAGTCTGTTTCCTTTCACCCTTTCCTTGCCTTCCCTTCTCACCGACATTCTTGCTTCTGACCCCCTGAGAAATACCTTGGGTGGCTGGGGAGGGAGAACTGACCTCCTGCTGTCTTCTGCATACTGCTGATTCCCAGCAGATGACCACCCAAATTCCTGATGCACTCTCCAGGCTGGCTGAAGGCTGGAACTCAAGGTGCTATTGCAACCGCTGCTCTTTTTCAAATGCAAATTAGGTTACTGGGTGAGGGCAAAGAGCACTGGAGGGAGGGCAGAGGGCAGTCGGGTTGGCATAGATAAATGACACCCCCATTTGACCTCCAAACCCAAGTGTGCCTAGAGCTGAACTTCCTGCCTGACTTCACCTCTCACAGCAAGAGTTGCAAAACAGCTGATTTGATTAATCAGGGCTGCACTTTCCCCAATCATCTGCCTTATGGACATCAAGCAGTTTGATAACTGAAACTGATAGAAGAAAAGAATGACATGAAAAAATCCGTAAGTCACAAGAGGAAGGGTTGGCTCTGATATAAGAAAATCCCAAGTTTTTAAAGACCTTAGCATCTAATTTCTATGTCATGAATGTAAAGATCCCCTACTTAAAGATCACTAATTTCACACTGATTAGGATTTAGCATAGGGTGTCACGATCCTTGAGGCAGCATAAAGAAGAATACATTCTCCCCACCCAACTGAGGTCCCTAAATAGATAAGCAAATGACTGAATAAATTAATCAATGAAAATCCTCCACAAAACCATCAGATGAGAATTAGCATGGGGATGGTACAGAACTGACTGTATCATTAGTGATTTCTTTGTTCCTCCTGGCATGAATAAGGTTTGGAGGAAAGTAGTGGCAAGTTGTATCGTATTTCACATAGATTTCACAGGCAAAGTGGGCATGGAGGAGGGATGTGTAAGTAAGAGTCAGTGGGACCAGGAGCATCATGAGACAGAGCAGGAAAATGGGGTCCCACCTAGAGAATAACACTAGATAGACAAGAGGAGGTAGAACTGGACCAAAGACCAGAGCTGTAGGAAGCAGCAGGAAATGAAAAGCAGCACAGGAAGGCATTAAGCAGAAGAGAGGGCATTAATCAGAACCACAAGAGCACATTTCCATAGGAAAAATGCTTGGCATTTTGGACAGCCCAACGGCTTCCAAAACAACATGAGATGTGCAGTGATCCCCAAAGAGAACAGGCTCGCAAAGCCCAGCCTGATACCCTTAGAAGAAGCCACAGGAGAGCCAAGGAAGAGTTAAAGGGAACTGGCTGAGTTTCCACATCCTCCTATTAATGCAATGCCAGGAAAAGACCTCAGCATTATTGTCCTTGCCTTCAATCACTCTTTAATGTTTCCTCCTAACCGCACTTCATTTAAGTTCAGAAGTCACTGCAGGTATTTCCATCTGGCAGGGGCTACCAACATTGACACAGTAGAGGCCCCTGGTAAAGCTCTAGACCTTAGTCTAGAGCCATGTCCTGCATTCTGATATGCCCATTCTCTGTGTCTGGCAATGTCCACATCCAATTCCACAATGGTTAAGAGGCAATAGCACAATGCTGTATCTGAGGAGACTGGGGGCTCCTGCCCCTTGGAGGGTTTTCAGAGAGAGGCACCCAGATAACAGCCTAATCATCCTTCATGGGTACAGTGTCTACTTCATGAGTACAGAAGCATTAGATCTTCCTGGGCTCGGTCACATACTAGCAGGGTATGTGTGATTTACCTCCTCTGTGCCTCAGTTTCCACATGCCTGGAATAAGGCCAACAATAGCATTCACTTTATAATATTGTGGCAAAGGTGATCTGAGATGAGGCATGCAAAAGTGCTCATAACAGGATCTGGCACATAGAAAGTTTCAGTAAATGTTAGCTCTGATCAAGGTCATCATTGTCATCACTGTAATCACCAGCACAGACAAGAAGCAGGCATGCCTTACTCTGAAAATAGGTTTCAAGGATTTCAAACAGTGGTTTTCAAACCTGACTACATATTAAAATCAGCTACCCCAGATTCCCCAGCCCTGGACCAATTAGCTCAGAATCTCCCAGGTGGTAATTTTTAAAGCTCTTTCCATGATTCCAGTGTGCTACCAGGGCTGAGACCCACTGATGTTGAGTCTTGAGGTTATTGCATGGTATTTGAAACCATAAATGGCCAGCCACAAGGCCTGCATCTTGACAAGTGGCAAAGCCTTCATATGGGTCACCCAGAGAGCAGTGGAAATCTTGAAGCTCCACTTTGAGATGTGAGGGTTTGGAGCATTTACGGTCCATGGGCGACCAGCTTCAGCCTTGGCTGAAACAATGTGCTGGTGGCTTTTCCAGCTAGCAAAGTAGTGGACCATTTCCAAGATACAGAGTATACTGCATGCAGCCAAATGTTCCCACAGGATGTCCACCATTGACTTGCAAACACTGCTATCTGGGGCCAAGACATGCACATGCCACAAGCACAAGGTCACCCATGAGCACCGGCACAAAGACTGCCTTCCCCCATGGTTTAGTGAAGGCAGCCCATGCAAAATCTGCCTAGAGAGATCCTGGAAAGGCCGGAGGAAGGAAATGCTTGTCATTCAGATCTCTGAGAGTAAAGATTAACCTGTCAGAATGTACAAAGTTAGATTCAGGCTAACCCTGGATAAATGTGACAAATCTAACTGGTTAAATCCTTAGCTATCTTGATGACTTTGGCAGCTGTTTGACATTTGCATTTACAGGATCTAGGAAAACTAGAAATTTTAACTACTTAGATTCCTCAAATCTCAACAAAGCTGCCAGGTGCTCAAAAGATAATCCTTTATTTACTTATTTGCTTTTAATATTTAAGACACTTCTGCCATAGAATGACCTCTGAGAGTGTACATGAAATGATAGAAAACCCACAGTTTAAAAAAAAATTAAGAACAGTAAGCAGTATCTAAATTCATCATTTAACTTAACTCATATTTTCTTCCAGCAGGAAGGGATTTACTTAGACTCTGGTGGTTACTGGAAAACCGAAAGGGGATTGGTTCATTCTACAGTATCAGGGTGAGCACAGCCATCCAATGGGTTCTCTCAGGGATCCGGAAAGCAGAGGAAGGGTCCATTGCCCTTCCATTCAGAGACAGCAACTTCCCTGTTTTTCACCCTGCAAAA